CCCTTTCCTTTACTCTGGGGAAACCATGCTTAATTATCATAGTTTTTGAATATCTCGCAAATTCATGGTTCGGTACCAGTGCTTGTCCAATCAGAAATGAAAAGAAACATCCTTCGTTTCAATCTATTTTAGATGCACCACGCATTCTTCTTCCATTCAGAACTATAGTAGCATTTGGAATCGATAATGCCCTACAATTGTTGCAAGCACACGCCATGTACAATTGTTAGTTCTTTTCCAGACGATGTAGTAAACTTGAGTCCATATCGGCGTCCAGTCTACTGCTACTCCGCAATCACGTAGATTCGCCGACGTCTGCACCGTACTGACCCCTGGAGACTTAGGTTATTTCGGTGGTCAAAATTCTATCCAGATCACGCCGCACTACTTTGTGGCACCACAGCGCCATTTGCCGCAGGCCACTTCCGCTCTCATTGTGTGTACCTTAATGTATTGCATTGCTTGCTATTCGAATCTCGTGAAGTACACCTTCATAACGTTCGAAATGGGGACTACGTTGATGTCTAGTACAGCGGTTCATCTCGAATGTAGCTTCCTTCGCAACCTTTTGACTAACGTTGGCAGGTCTCTCACTTCCCTCTACTTTCCACCAAAGCGGACACGGGCAAGCTTCGCCACGCGTGTGTCCACATTTCGCAAAGAAGGCCATAGCGTACCATGGAGAGGCGTTATCCTCCTCTCGGTCAGTCGCCACTGTAGCATCATCGAACCTAAGGTTAAGTTGGGGTGAACCTAGTTGAAGCTTATCTACACATGGCCTACTAGCCTATGACTCGGCCTAGTTTAGTCCAACCTTCTTCGAACGAATAATGGGTCTCAGTTTCAAGTTAGGTGACCTGACCACGGGAGGAGAAACGCTACGCACCCAGCGTACATGGGTCGAAACATATGGCATTTTCCAGGCTTCAAAAAGCTGCAGGAGGTAAGACTCGGAGAATATGAAGGAATATCACCATCCTGTATATGGTTAAAAAATTTCCCCTCAAGGTTAATGCGCAGCCGTTTGTCAGGTCTTTGAAAAATTCCGCAAGGGCTTTCGTTACCGACCTACATATATTTCAGTAATTTTCAAATGCTTTCACCTTTCTCAGAGGGATATCATTTTGAAGCGGTGTTCGACAAAGTAGCTTTTTTAAATTCATTAAAACCCGCAGGGGAACGCTGTGGGCAGTCCTCATCCCTCGGCGCGAATGTTTTTGTTTTTGGTTAGTGGCTTATTTCCTGGCACATCCGTCGAATTTTAAACAACACTTTCCTGACTTGGCTAAAGCTCTCTCAATTGTTTTTTTTCTAGATATCCCCTTGAAATTGAGGCTGTTCAACATTTTTTGACCATGAACTATCTTTTCATTTATTTATTCAATTTTAGAAGGCTATACATTAAGAATAAACGATAAAGTTTTGTCGTGGATCAATCCATTTTGGGATGCGCCATGCTTAGCAACCAAATTCAGATTTGGTCCTGGAATTGTACGTGTAAGAAGAGGCGCTAAAGCTGGACATTACCACCAGCATATGCCATGAAGTACCCATTTTTGAACAAAAAGCAAAGCTGTTGTTATCATGGTCATTCAAAATGCCTAGCAGTTACTCGATCGGAATAACTCTGTTCAAAAAAGTAGTTCGGGGTTCGTCATTTTTTTGCACTTGCGCTGTACTTTATGCTGAGCAGATAATTGTGCGAAGGGTCCTTTTTTGCGCTTTGTAATGAATTCTTGAGGCTGCCAGGTGCTGATTGCGTAAGTGCTGCCAAAGCTCGAGAGTTTTGTTTTGCTTTGATAAATCGATTCTTTGCGAGTTCTTATACGACTCAATGGTGACAGCTTGAGAATGGGTGCTCTAGCTTAAAGTGAAACCCCCAGGGGAACTTCCGGGGAGCTAATGAAACTAACATTAGTCTTCGGTTCCGAGAAGGGCTACCCTCTTTTTTGGATACAGCGAGCACTGAAGTGCCAAATGAGTTGAATGATGTCGTTCCCTAGGATCAAACTAGTGTTCTTCCGGGACACAAAATGAGGACATTGGTCCGAAGGGGCAGCGTGAACGTAAAAATAGCACCAATCCGTCAAAAGCGCTGACGTTAGAAGATCCGCTTGTGAATAATGTTCGCAGTTCACATGGAATCATTTGTGGATACTGAAAAACGAAAAAAATTTCATGTGAGAAGAATCAGTTTTCGGATAAATTCAGGAAAAGCACACCTACAGACAGTCGAGGGTAGTAGGGCTGAAACAAGTGAACGCATGCCAAATATTTCCGTTAAAAGGAATCTTCCGGCAGAAAAAGCTTCGCCCTCCATTACCGCAGAAAAACGATACACCTTAGTTTCGATAATACTAATCCTACACACAAGACAAAATGATCACTCTTTCCGTGGAAGATTCCTTTAAGGTATCGTTTTCTGTGGTAATGAGGGCGGAGCTTTTTCCGTGGAGGATTCCTTTAAATCCAAAGAGAAAAAGCCAAACAGTCGCTGGAATATGCAACAGGAGGAAGAATGCTTGTTGCCATAATTGGTGAAGGCTAAAGTTCCTATGAAGCACACACCCCAGTTAATGGTTCTTGTCTCCAACATTTGTTACAGATGTACAGCGAGAATTTACGCGTAAGCAACCCTTCCAGTTTTCCCGTGGATGATTCTTTCAAGAGCTTCATAAGCTCCTTGATTCGGCTTTGCTAGGCAGTGAGAGACGAACGTCGTGAAGGACCAAGAGATGTAGCCAACGAACGTCAGAGATGGGAGCGCCACCATGCTGTTGTAAAAATTAAGCGATCGAAGCGCTTTTGTGGCAAGGTCCGGCTCATCTTCCTTACGCAACTAAAGTGAACGCGGACACGCAATTTTCCCCGTACAGTTCTATCCTAGCCCCTAATAACTATTCATCCACCTGAACACATCTGCGTTACGCCATTAACAATTGAATGTCCACAGCCACCTCGACTGTTATTGATTGCTATACATATATTCTGCACGTTTCGTAATAGATGCCATCAACCTTCCATTGATGTCTCGATGGCTTTAACCCATAACGGACGGCCAGTGTATTTTGTTGCGTGCGCCACCATGTGGCGCACGCCGCCACCCAGGGTAGGGTTTATGTAGGCTTATGTGAACAGCAGGGGTAAGACGGGGCTAAAGTAGGTGTCGGAGTCTCATCATCCGAAAAAAGAGATTTCCGATGACGACAAGTTCGTAGCCCACCTTTCCGCTCTAAAACTAGGGTGCAAAGAATGAATGGAAGCTGTAGGTGACATTATCGAAAAATGCGAAACAACAACCCCGAGCAAGGATGTGGCTATATTTAGGGGAAGGGGTCTCGGGACGTGCGAACCATGGGTAAGCCACCCATCAAATAATAAACTTATGTAAATTAAAACAAAATTTATTGTAGGTTTGTCAAAAATCCAGCCGTCCAGGTCCTGGGAAGATATGTTATTCCACATTGCTGAGAGTATATATGGGTATATTAAGATTGCTAGAAACATTCCAAAAACAAAAGAAATAGTCGTGCGCCACCTTGTGGCGCACGCCGTCCGTTATGGGTTAAAAGGTTTACTGGGGTGGTTACTATATTATCACAGCGGTGGAAGACGGTTTACGAACGACAATATTGAGATCCAAATTCCGGCATATCCGCCATTTCCTGCAACTACCACGTCTGTGTGTCTATCCCCTCTCGTCTCCTCGTCGTCATGTCTCGTTTTGGCGCGCAATCTTTCGCCATAACTTAGAGCACACCGTACAGGGCTATAGGAACATATGATATTGCTGCTCTACCTGCCTAACACGCTGCTCGGATTAACGCACGTGGCAAAATTCGTTCACACAGGTGCCGTCCCTTGAACGAAAATTTCAAAGACCCCATTCTCAATGTCCTCCATTCCCTCCCCCCCTCCTTGAAGTCCTCCTTAAGAATCAAGGCCTCGCAACATGTTCCATCGCTGAGCCAAGTCCACACGCTAAATTACAAACTGATGTAGTTCTTTAGAGAACTACTTCGTATAATGTATGCCTTTACCCACTTTGTAGCGCTATGATTAAAGCAACAGTTCAGGAACGGTTTCGCGGGAAAAAACCACCAATAATGAAGTTGTAGATGAAAACCAGACGATTAATGTATGAAAAACTGGAAAAAAACGTCGGGGAGGGTCTTAGACAGGTACTCTCCCTCTGCCGCTCAGCAATGGATAAAGACGCACGTTGGACGAGTTGTCTGAACGTGCCCGCTGTAAACGCGCTCCATTTTTCAATCAATTTTCCCTGTGGTCCCAAAACGAGCACGATTGCCGACGCGTCCAATGACGGCCGGCAAGGGGGCGGGATTGGGGAAATCCCCAAGAACACCCATGTTTGAGGGACTTTCCACCCTGTTTTTGAGTTTCTGAGGTAAGTTCGTTTATTATTTCCACTGCATGTTCTTCACTAGGGCTCGTGTATCCCTCAGTATAGTGGCATTGAAATTTTCGGACCCTCCCTGAACGTTCTTTAAGCGTAAGTCGTTCGCGCATCCTCTCAAACCTCCTGAGTCGACTCGTGCACATTCCTGGCAAATTTTCCCGCCATCGGTGCTAACTATTATACCATTGTTAAATTATGATGGCGCTCTTCGATTTCCAAGTCGGATGCATCCGGTTGATCACTATGTTTAAAACACCGTAAATAAAGGGGAAGCTCCCCCTTCCCCCTTTTGTTTAACAAATTAGCAGGCCTTGTTCGCGATGTGCGACACTTTCTTGGCAATGACAGCTTTTGCTTCTGACCTTCATTATCGGTTCTTATAGCACCTGCTTCCTATTGGGACCCTCTATTCGGATCCTGTTGTCATGAAATCTCTCAAAATTTAACGGTCTCTTACCTTGCATCGTCCGATTTGTCGTGACCCTCTATCTATTCTTTTCGTCGCTTTCGCTTAGTATAAACAATGAATACTTTTCCACTTCCAAGCAAAGCCATTGCAGGGTAGCCACTTTTGGAAGTGATGGCGTTGCTGTTCGATCCGCATTTTTCTCTGCTCCGAGAGGACCAGAGTGTGAAGCTGTTCAACGTGATGCTCGTCATCTCGCAAGCATTCGGTACACATTAATCGATTATCGATTGGCCTGCATATCCGTCTGTGTGCTAATACAAGGATTTCGGGTCATTCAAGGTTTTATAAGAATGTTTTCAGGAGGTTTGGCTATCCTTCTGGTGGCGATCTGGATGGGTGTTTATGAAAATGGTTTCTCATGGAGCGAAGATCCCGAACGTGAATTCCATTACCATCCTACGTTCATGGTTATGGGACTGGTAAGATCATACTGATTGTTCACTCTTAGCTTCGACCTAGAATCGCAATCGGAATTTATTTTACATGAATAGGACCCCATCGTGGTTAAATTTAGCCATTTATAAAGGCGGAAAATGTGCCGTTCCAATGGCTAAAAGTGGGTGACAAAGGACTTAGGGCCTCGTGTGCCAGGCCAGGTGTGCTGGGCTTCATCCGCAACTCAGTAGTACACCCAGCAGGTGTCTGCGTGTCCTTGTCGCCATACTTTCTCTTCCGGTTTCCCTCCTTGGTGCCCAGAGCGTCTATTCGTCCGAGCACCATCCTCACCACGAATGGAGGACCTCAACTCTAGCATTTTGCTGGAGTTTTTCAACTTTTTTTTTAAAACGAAACACCTCCGCAGTCATGCCTTCATTTACTGACCCACAAACTTTAGTCGTTGAAAGTGCCTGTCACTTGGAGGGCCTGTTCCAGAAGTTTACTTGTTTGTCCTTACAATCAGAAGTGCACCAGCTTATGCGTTTGGGCCTCCCAGGAAGGTCTTTAAAGACATGGAGCGCTTTCTCAAAATGGTTCTTTGCATTTGAGAGAGGCATGTACATAGAAGCTAAGAATATGTTTGATTTTTTCTAAGCAGCCCTGTGAATACCAAAAAAGGAATCGAATATCGATCAAGTGATCGATTCTAGCTGGTGGTAAAGTATTGCATTTTGGGTTAGCGCCTGCTGAATGGCGCCAAGTGTTGCCAGCGCCAATAATTGGTACTGTACTTACTATAAAGATCATCTATTAGTTTTTCTGATTAGGTTTTTGTCCATATTTTAAAGATTTCCTTGGTAAGGTCACTCAAACTTTACTGATGAGGTTTTTAGAAATTTTCTTCTTAAAGGCAAAAGTCGGGCTCAATAAGGGGGTATTATGGCGATTGAAACTGAGTATAGAGATGCGAAGTGGAACGACAGTGGAGAAAAAACTGAGAAAAACCGTCGACAAGGCCGTTAACAAAACCCTCTTTCCCACTAGCAGTGAAGGAGGCTGGCTTGGGGAAAGAGGCACGTACAAACAAGTTTTCTGGAGATGTCAGTCGTTCTATCGGTTGATACGGCAATCAACCTAGCTGATTTCACACGTTATGCCAGCCACGCACCACTTCCGGAGGTGGGCGGTCCTGGATTGACCAGGCGGCCCTGGATTGAAACCGAACGCCCCGGGGCCTTAACGGGGTTTTTCAAGGTGGGAAGTTGCTGCAATGTGTGCAGCTACCCACATACAACCTCCAGGCACGGGAATTACTTCTCTAGCGTGCCTGAGCCCGACCTTTGCCTTGGTAGAAGGATTGCTACACAAATTTTGACACTTTCAGGTGTTCCTATGTGGAGAATCGATGCTGGTGTATCGTGTTTTCCGTAATGAACGTAAAAAATTCAGTAAAACTCTGCATGTCTGCCTACATTCCATGGTACTGGTGTTCATGATCATAGCTCTCAAAGCCGTATGGGATTCACACGATCTTCACAAGGATAAACTAGGTATTGTAATATTAGCCCACAGTTATACCACTAGTAATATTTTTATTTCGTTTTGTTTTCATGCACTTGAAGGTGCGCCATGAACAACGGAGAAATTCAAAAGAAAGCAACGGAAATAGAAGTAGACACGAGATAGGAGCGGTCGTTTTGTAATGGAGTGGAGAGGAGATCATTTTTGATATCCTCTCCCGATCGAAGGCAGTTTTGAAAGGAATTCTAAAGCGTGATGGAGCGTATCGATTGATCTTAAAATCAGATGCTGTAGAAACAGCGGTGGGGGTGAGGAAGGGAATTCGAAAGGGTTGGGCTCCTCCAAACTAGCATCATGTCACGATCGTCTCAAGAGAGTTGGGATCGTGGAAGTTTGGGAATCGACATAATGATTGACCATGCTTGGGATTAACTCACAGATGTAAACTAGATGTAGGCAATTCGCCCGCCCCATGTACGCCACGCCCTTTTTGGACGACTTCCTGGCGCTGATCTCTGTTTCCGTTTTTGATTG